GGACACTGTGTCAGCCACCCTTGTCCATTCACTAAATGAGACACTTTAGTGCCATGTCGCCACAGTTATAATGTGTGTCATTTTTTATTTTTTTTTTTGGGAGCGAGTAAGCATGGCTGTCTCAGAGCACATCACAGAATGGTTAGGGATAACATCATTATGGGAGTGCACAGAGCGGTGACTGAGATGTTCCATATTTAAGTGCTAGAAATGTTGGGGAAGATGTGAAAATTGCATTCTGCATTGGTGCAGTAATGCATAAGAATGGTTTTTGACAAAAGCATTTTAAAGTTTGGAGAGCTGAGGGGGTTTTAAACATGGAGACATTGAAAGTCTGATTAGCATTACAATTATCAAGTTAGCATTTTTTTGATTATACACACACACACACACACACACACACACAAAAACACACACGCATGCACACACGCACGCACGCACGCACGCACACACACAGTATATGACAAATGAATGAGAAATTGTGATTATTTTAATAACATGATTCTTTTATTTAATTTAAATGTATATTTCTGTATTTAATGTATTTAGAAAACAAATGATTAATCACTTTTTCCTCTAGATTTATGATATTTATTTATGCCTTGTTTTATTATTTAAATATTTATTATTCATGATTTTTATTTGAGTTTGAATTTGAAACATTTTTTTACATTGAAAAAATGCTACATTATTATTATTATTATTATTATTATTATTATTATTATTATTATTATTATTATTAATAATAATAATAATAATAATAATAATTATTATTATTATTATTATTATTATTATTATTATTATTATTATTATTATTGTTGTTATTTTTTATATTAATATTGTTTATTTTTGGTTAAAATAAATAATTAAATAAATAAATACTTAGTATGCATTTGTTAATTATTTTGTTTTTGTTTTATATTTTGTGTTGCTTAATAATTTGTAAATTCTTCATATATTGTTTAAATTGTTTATAAAAACACTCGAATAACAAATAGTATGACAAATAATGAATGATAAATATTTTGAATAACATATTATAAATTATAAACTATTTATTAATCAATAAATAAACAACACAAAATAAAAAAATAAAATACAAAATAAATAAAAATGTATTTGTTTACAAATTGTTTATTTAAAAATATAAATAATGGTTATTTATAAATAAATACATTTTAATTAATTGTATTGCTTTTGTTTTGTATTCTGTATTGTTTGTTTGTTTATAAATAAATCGTTTATTATCAAATATTATTACAGTAAATAAATAAAGTAAATACATATTATTATTATGATTATTGTTATTGTTATTGTTATTATTATTATTATTATTAGTATTATTATTATTATTATTGTTTATTTTTAATCCTTTTGTTTTGTACTGATATACATAATTGTTTATCCAATAATATGTAAATATTGTTCATTTATTTATTTATGAATAAATATATATTATTTTTCAAAGAATTAGGTTGCAACTGGAAGGGTATCTACTGCGTAAAACATATGCTGAATAAAAAAAAATAAAAAAATGTATTAGCTTGATTTGTTTTGTATTTTTTATTGCTTATTTATTGTTTATTTTATTTGTATTAGCTTTTTGCTTAGGTCTCATAAACATAAATAAATCAATTAATCAATCAATCAATCAATAAATAAATGAATGAATGAATGAATGAATGAATGAATGAATGAATGAATGAATGAATAAATAAATAAATAAATAAATAAATAAATAAATAAATAAATAAATAAATAAATAAATAAATAAAAACGTTTTTATAATTAGACAACACAATATCAATGTTCAGGAGAGTTAAGACATCAATATTAGGTGAAAATCCCTTGATACCATCAACATATAATAAATAGAAAATAATAATGATAATAATGATGATGATGATGATGATGACAGAAAACGGTGCTTAGTATATAAACCACAGATCCCAAACAGATTATCCTTCTATACAACAAAGAACTCTTTCAATGTCTGGACAGCAATGTTGTTGATACACAGTTTGGGTGTATTTACAAGATTTAGCTCCCACTTTCATTGGGTTTCCTTTATGGGCAAGTCTACAAATATGAATCACTGCCAAATAAAAGAAGACCTTTAAAAGTCAAAAGTCTTTGTCTTCTTTGCTCTCTTCATCTTTCATTCTCACTCTTACTCTTGTGGGAAGGTCTGTCCTTGGTAAGTGATTATCAAATGTTACATTTCTTCCCAGCACTTTAGAGAATTTACTAATTTAATCTGAAAAGCATTCCAGGGAGCAAAAATGTGCTGGTAACCAAATGCAAAATATATATATATATATAATAATAATAATAATTACATTGTATGGACACCTTTGCCAAATAATATCGAACCACAGAATATAATATGCTGATATAAACCAGTCAGCTCTGTGTTAGATAATAAAGCACACAATACCCATGACTTTTCAATTAGTATTTACTTTACAATTGACATTCCGTGACAGGAATGCAAGGACAGATTTTGAGGCATGGAGATTTGAGTGCTTTTTAAACATGGAGACACATTGAAAGTCATTGAGTATCAAGTCTGATTATCATTTTAAGTATCAAGTTATCATATAGTTATATACTTATATGAACTTGATACTGGTGATGGCTTGATAATCGATGACTTTCAATGTGTTTCCATGTTAAAAAAAACAAAAAAAAAACACTTAAATAACAAATAGTATAACAAATAATATATTATAAATATTTTTGAATAACATATTATTACTAACATTTTTTTTTTCATATATAGGATAAAGGAAAAAAAAAAAGATAACTTGATTTTTTCCCCCACCTATAATTATAACATTTATGTCTTTAATTACATCTCTTAAATTTAATTTGGTGCTTTTATTCCCATATTTCATAAAAAAATCTAAAATTAGTATAATAATAATAATAATAATAATAATAATAATAATAATAATAATAATAATAATAATTATTATTATTATTATTATTATTATTATTATTATTATTATTATTATTATTATTATTATTATTATGTGATATTTTTGAATTGTTGAGCAGGAACAGTTTATTTAGGACTCATTCTCACTGATTTCATCTTTGTTTCTAAAATAAAAAATAAAAAAAAAATCAAGACACAGTGTTCTGGAACAGTTGAAAAAACAAAAAGTGCAGCATAGGGCACAAGGGTTATTCAGACACAGCCACTGAGTGCCTGTAAATAGAAACTGCCAACATTTGCTCCGCCTCCGAGTTCTTTTGATTGAACCACTGCTCTGGAACTAACAGTGATGAGCAGCACTGCTGTAAAAGTTGAAATTCTTTTAACTTTAAAATGCAGCGCTCCTTTGCACAGTGCTTCAGAAGACACAATATGCATGCATAACAGCCACACATGTAGATCAAGCACTTGTTTACAATTGAAAAAAATAGAAAAGTAGTGCAATGGAAAGGAAAATTACATTTTGTGTGAACGGCCCCTTATTCACTGTAAAAATGACAGCTCAATTCATCCATGTTGTCCCAACACACATCCATTAAGTTATCTTTAAAAATTTAAGTAGATTGAACATAACAAAGTTAAGTTTAAATCAAATCTCAATAATTGTGCTGTTTCAGCTCATTTTAATTAGACAGTTTAAATAAGCAGCATTTTGAGCGCACTTTACAAAATACTGGGTTCAAACAATCGATTTTTGTTGGGACAACATGAAGGAACTTTTAAAAAGAATAAAAGATACTTTTGAAAGAATTGCATTACAATATTGAGTTACTCCCCCAAAAAATAACTAGTTGTGAGCCACTTTGTTACTTTTTATGGAAAGTGATGTGTTACGTTAGTTTTGAGTTGAGGTTAACTTTTTCTGACCTGCCCGAGGCTTTCTCTTTCAGAACTTACAGAAATTCATTTTGAGAAGGAGCTCTGCATTTAACGGCACACTGCATAACCTACATCTTCATTTACCTTTTAAAATAAGTATTAAAAAGATGTGAATGATGTTACCTTTAGAGAACCACCTGTTGCTATACATGCCGTATAAACAGATCAATGAAAGTTGAAAGCAATAAGTTTGCTACTTTTGTATTTTTTGTCTTATTAAACTGTGAAATAAATGCAGGGTTCCACACAATTCATTCATATTGCCCCAACACAAATCGAGTTAACTTAACACTTTTAACAAATTTGTGGATTGAACATAAAAAATTAAGTTGTTCTAATGAGTCATCAAAATTGTGTTGTTTCAGCTCATTTTAATTATTTAGTTTAAACGAGTAAATCATCTATTTGAGTGCATTTCAGTGTAAAATCAGTGCATTGAGACTGATTTCCTTTTCTTCCATGTGTTCAAAATAAGGAGAATACTTCCATCCCATCACTGTGCCATTTTGGTTTCTGTTTGTTCCCACAGGGAGCTCATTTTCTCATTGAATGTGATTTATCAACTAATTTTAATTCAGAAAACAATTTTTAAACATGTACTAATTAATCTAAAAAGTAACTGGAGTTACATTTTTTTTTAAGTAACTCAAATATCATCACTTAATTTTTTTAAAGTAATGCTGTACTTTATTCATTACTTAGAAAAGTAATATTATTACGTCACCCATAATGCATTACCCCCAAAACTGCTCGCAAGTGGTTCTAAACTTTTATAAAATGTCATTCTTCTGTTGAACACAAAACAAGTTATTCTGAAGATTGCTGGAAACTAGCAGCCATTGACTTCCATTGTAGGAAAAAAAAAAACTGTTTAGTTTTCTGCAAAATCTGTCAGTATATCATTCTTTGAGTTCAGCAGAAGAAATAAACTCAAACAGGTTTATAACAAATGCAGTAAATGATGACAGAATTTTCCTTTTTGGGTGAGCCATCCTTTTAAGTATTAAGAGTGTTTGGAATAAAATGTGCTTATAAATCATTCTCGGTCAATCCAGGAATGCACAGAAAGAAAAAGGAATAGAGTGAACTGGGATATAAACACTACTACAGGCTCCGTTACCTTCTGGTCGTGGCTGTAGGCCAAAGCCCAGTCCTCCTGTGTGTGATGGAAAAGTAAACTCAAGACGAAGAAGTTCAAGCGGTACTTCTGATAGCTGGCACCTTCATCTGAGCTGATGAGAATACTGCTCTCAAACTCTGGGTCCGTCAGCACCATTATCTAGGATGAGACACAAAAACACGGATGTTAAACCATGACGGAGAACATTCTAGTCAGAAAAAAAAAAAAAAAAAATATA